CACAAAGTGCAGTGATAAATGACCACAGAAGCCCAAGACAAAACTGTATTTCCTGTGGACACATTAACAGTTTCCTATTATTTGTTAAAAATTACAATGCATATTGCCCAGTGTGATGTGAATAATGACTTTTTTACTGATTAGGTCAGAAGACTAATATGTAGCAAAATAAATAATTTTTCTTTTCATTTTTTCTGATTTTTGCTTTAAATTAACTACTGAAATCTGGTGGATTCACACTGCCACCTGCTGCCTAGGAATAGATATTAAAAGTATATTCCCATCAAAAGGAGTTTCTTCATCACTTTGGCAATCTTATTTGGAAAGTCTACTTGATGGGTCCTTCCTTATCAATATATTTAAGTTGCATATCATAATAAAGGCTGATACTTGGTGAACACAAAGAACACTTGATAATCAAACAATACAATATGCTATTTGCTATTTGAGGGAGGTGATACAAAATGTACAAATTTTCTTTATAAAGCTAACTACAAAAGAAGACATTTTCAGCAAATCACGTTTCTCCTAATGCATCACTTTCAGGGGCTACAACACCAAGTCCAGTGGTCAGTACCCCTGATCTTAGCACAGTGTGTGTCACCGAGGGGAGGGTGTGTGTGTGTGTGTGTGTGTTTTCCCTACTCCTGCCCCTTGATACCATCGAAAGGAGATGACTGAAGGCTCTGCCTGTCACCGAGGATCTTCCCTACCTTGCCACCTCCCCTATTGGCAGGTATCAACATGAATGGAAGGCCTTAGGGTCCAGGACACAACAGGCTAGGGAAGATACTAGGGCAAGCGAGAAACAGGCCTAGACTTGGAGACGAGGCTAAAGACTTTTGTAGATGAAATGATGAGTTTGAATGGTGGTCAGGGGAGCAAGTGGAGGTTTTCAGACTGGATCAACATCCTAGTTCTGAATTTCAGTTTCTTCATCTGCAAAAAGAAAACAACACTGACCCGCCTTAAGGGATTACTTTGCAGAGGAGAAATGGGAATCCTTGTGCAAAACACAGTATAAACAGCGCTCCCAAAATGTTGGTTCCCTTCCCTGGCAAAGATAACGATGGCTCTGGGGAATGTGGTTTGGCATGGACAGAGGCTAGAAACAAGCAGATCCCTAGAGGAGGTCATGAACTCATCATAACCTATAACCAGCAATGGTGAAAGTCTAAAGACATTAGTAATGGAGAAAAGGATCAGGTCTGAGAGATATTTGGGAGGCAGAATCAACCCATCTTGGTGGCTGATTGGATATGGTGGTGAGGAAACTAACACTATGTCCAAATTTCTAGACAACTAATGGATCCATGGGACCATCAATAGAGAAAAGGGCTGGTTTTCTCATGTTAATTTTGAATCCTGTGTGATATTTAGGTGGAGATGTTCAATTTTAAAAAAAGGCTAGAAAAAATCAGAGTTTGGGAAACAATCTGGATTCAAAAGGTTTGTAATGTTTATCTGAGGGATTCAGTAAACCAGTAGACACACTGAAACCACTTCATGTGCAGAGATTCCTTTATGAGATTTAAAACAGTGAGTGGCATGTATGAACACATGTACTCTGAAAAGCAAGGCATTCCATGCATTTTACTGGACCCATTTTAAAGACAATGATTGCTGTTTAATGAATTGGTGCATCTTTTGATGGACTTTTAAAAAAGATCATAGTGGACAAGGAAGAGGAGTAGAAGGAGGAAAAGGGAAGGGAATATTCACATTTTATTTGGGACTGGATCACAGATAGCAGATAAAAGCCTGACAGGTCATGCTTATTAGTATACTAACAGGACAGTCTCCATAGGACAGTCCTATGAAATTTCACTGCAAAGAGGGTGAGAAAGGATACAAACTTGAGGAGTTGTTTGCAAATACCTTACCTTGGGATGATGGGCTATTGTAGCCTCTGTCCACCCCAACCCCACCCCTATCAGTTAGCATCATTTTCATATTGTAGCCCCTGTCCACCCCAACCCCACCCCTATCAGTTAGCATCATTTTCATTGCTCATCTGCCTGTTTATTCTACAAACATGCACTGACAACCTGTGTGTTCTCAGTGACTGGCCCTGGGAGAGAGCCTGGGAACTAAAAACTAATCAGGTGAAGGACTCATAAGCCTGGGAGGCGAATTCAATGCCTGTCCTTACTGACACAGAGGGATATTCGGGGTCCCTGCCCTCAGCAGTCTCCCATAGGAGACACAAGACAAAGGGGCCCACATAGTGCCCTTGAGGTGCCCTTCCCTATGCTGGGTGGTGGGGGGAGAGCAGCATCCATGCATATGCAGAAGAGCTTCAGGCCAAAGCAATAGCTGGTGGTTAGGAGGCTCAGGGAGGCTTGGGGTGGGCGTGATTCATAGAGTATCAACCAAGGGGCTCTCCTTGGACATGCTTTTTAATGAGCCCTGGAGGACAACAGGGAGTATAGGAGAGGGGTCTACCCTTCACACCTCTGGAATAAAACCAAAGAAATGATGGTAATTTGAAAACAACAAGACAACACCAGACATTTTAGTGAGGAGAATGGCTTCACAGACTCCTAGTTGAACAAAGTACTAAACAAGGACGGAGATTACCCTTAATTGATGGAGCATAATTTCTAAGTATGTTTTAAGCACTGAAGATTTTTCATGTTAATAAAACATTTTTATACTCAATAAAATGGTTCTATATGAAATCAAAACTCAGTTGAGCAATAATACAAAAAATGTAAATAAGTATTGTTATAAGATTGTGTCAAAATATAAAAGCAGACTGACCCAGTCTGGTCATTTTATAATCCCCAAGGAGAGGGAGAGCATTTATTTTAAAAGACTAGCATAATGAAGGTTTCTACATACACATGGTTTCAGTTCTCTTATAGTCAAAGTTTCCTTCCACACATTGGACATCTTGCAATGGTCACAGATAAAACGGAAAAGTAAAGTACACAAGAGAATGAGATGAAAGCATATTGGTGAAAAGAAAGTGAAAATTTCAACCACTGTTAAAGCAAGCTAATAATAAATGATGTGTCCACAAAATATATCTGTATGCAAGCTACACGTTTTCCTCAGCAAAATAATAAACTGCAAGAATTAAATTCCAAAGCCCACAGTCATTTGATATTTCAACAAATTCATCTGATGGGGTAGGGGAAAATATTCATGATCTTCTAATGTTTGTCTGGAATTCTCATTTATAGAAAACTAATATATAGGTGCACACACAACTGTATAAACACACTATTTTAACATGCATCATGATAAGCAGCAATAACCAAACTTTTGTCTACATATATCATTGATTATACCTGTCATTAAAAAAGTGAATCAGGTGATGCTGTTGAAAGTTTGAGTTACAATATTTGATGTAGAAATAGCATATAAAAGTAATTTCAATTTCACAAGTCTAACCCACACTTTTGAAGTCAAGTAACCTTTCTACATTATTCCCATTTGCTACTTGCAGAAAGGGATTAAAAATAGCTCTCCCATATCACCTAATATTGAGGGGAAAAGAAAAAAAATAAGATAAAAAATAGTTAAACATTTACTATTAGATTAAATGAGCTGAGATGATAAAACTTTCATATACTGTATTTGAATTGTTCCTTAGTTGAACACAGCTGACATCCCTCACACCATCACCATAGGAAGCACTGGTTCCTACCTCCCAAGGTTGCTGGGAACATGAAATAAGATGATGTAGCAGAAAGAGATTTGGAAACTGCCTAGTGAGTAACAGAAGTCAATAATCAAGGCCATATTTAGAATTAGAGAAAAAAATTAGGAGGGAAATAAAATAACTGAGCAGGAAACAAATAAAATTTTTCTATTTACTAATCTCATGTCATATTCACAAGGATAGCAGAATTAAATTGTGTGGATTTATCATTTTTTAAATTTTATTTTCACTGTCTTCATAATGCTGTAGTAAATGTCAGCAAAATTCATACAAGTTGGGGAAATGGAAGGATCCCAATACAGGGAATTATTACTGAACTCTCTGTAAAATATCTTACACTATCTGCCCAAGAAGTCCCCTATCTTCCTCCTGAGCCAAAGGGTTTTCATCCAAGAAGAAATAATGGTCTTTCGAATCAGAAAGGCCTACCACTCATCAGCCATGTCACCTTGGACAAGCTGGGTGCATTTTGAATCTCTGATTTTTCGCCTATAAAAATGTGCAAAGAGCCTGGCTAGCATGGCTCAGTGGTTGAGCATTGACCTATGAACCAGGAGATCGCAGTTGATTCCTGGTCAGTGCACATGTGTGGGTTTTGGGCTCAGTCCCCAGTAGGGAGCATGCAGGAGGCAGCCAATCTATTCTTTTGTATCACTGATGTTTCTATCTCTTTCTCCCTCTCCCTTCCTCTCTGAAATCAATAGAGGTATTTTTTAAAAAAAGAAATAAAACAAAATGTCTAAAGTTGCTGAGGACTGAAGGTGAAACACTGGTGTGAACTCACAGTAGGCTTTTTTCTCCCTGCCCCTCACAGAGCCTTCCTGACCACCCCAGCAAATCAAGGGAAGAATGCACAGATCACTCATTTTTCCAGCATTTATTGCCTAGGAAGTTCATGTGCTAATTAAACATACACCTATGACTTTGTGATATATTAGCTTCTGTTACTGAATTCTTAAAGGACTATCCAACTTATTGTGCATTTGTGGTTATTCCATGTGGAAACCAGACAGCACTGCTTCAAATCATGATCTGTTCCCGAATCATCTCTCCGGCCCTGGCAGTGAACCCTGTGCGTGGTTGGTGAGTTACGCTACTGCCCAAGGGTGGTGGGGATCTGGGGTGGGCAGGGAGAGTGGAGGCCATGAGCTAGGACATGAGAGCTGCAGCTGGCTCCTAGGAGCTCTCAGCTTGTGTCCTGGAGAAATTCTAGCAGCAGAGACCACATCCCTCCCCCATTCCATTTTACCTGTCAGTTGGTGGGGTACCACCTATAACGACAGAGGGAAGGAATGTGAAGGGCATGTTGGCAGGATGCTAGCTCACATACCTGGATGAGATAGTGGGAACATAAACTGAGGAGCTCCAACAGCTGCAGGTGGCTGCCAGCGGCTAACACATCCTGGATCACACCCGGCTCCAGCAAAACCTGTTATTTAATAAAAAGAAAAGTACCAGTTACTTAAAAATTAATACTAGCTTAACATGGAAAATAGATTGCTATATTTAAATTGCCACTTCACATGCTCTGTCTGAATTATGGAAGTAAGTTCTTTCCCACATTCTGATTAACAAGCTGTGGCCCTCACTCTAACAGCAGACTTCTCGTTTCCTATACTCATTTCATGTGTGTAAGGCTCTGCACCTAACAACTTGTTTTTGTAGGAGTATATAACCATTTGCAAAGAATAATATAATAGTCTTAAAATTCACTTGTGATGCATGTAATCTCATAATATTTTAAAACAAACAAATTTTAGTTTTTCAAAGTATGTTTCAGAATTTCGTAGCAGTATGATTAATAGATATTTTAGGGATAAGGGCTTTTATTTCTACTTGCAATATGAGACCAGAGGTGATATTATTTCCTTTTACTTCTAAGTCCAGCAACAGTAAATTTCAACCATAAACTTTCATTTTTCTCAATCTCCGATTCTCTAATATTTTCTATTTCAAATGAAAGATGAAGAAATAGCATCTTTATAACAAAGACATCACAGAGAGGTAAAACTTCTTAAATATACTGGTGATATCAACTCTTCATTTTTTCTGGTTAATTCCAACTTTGTGCCTACTGCTGCCACTCCTGAGCTACTGAACAGGGCTAGAGAAAAGCACACAACCACGTTGGCTAGATTCACTTTACATGGATGACTGCTAGACCCAAGAAGGCCTAGTGCTGCTCCCAATATCTTAACTCATTTCCCATTTCCCAAGCCCAGTGGTTCCCAAAGTGGAGGCCCTGGACCAGCAGCATCAGTATCACCTGGGAGCTTATAAAAATTGCAAATTCTTGGGCGCCTCCCCAGACCTAATGGCATCAGAAACTTTCAGGGGGAGGTCCAGGAACTGGTGCTTTAACAAGGCCCCTGGTGGTTCTGATGCCCAGGGCAGCATGAGAAACACTGATGTGGTCCATTCAGTCCCATTCTGCTTCTTCTCACATGTACCTCTCTCCTCCATCCTCTTCTTACTCAAACCTCATGATCTTCCAAAGGCTCTCACCATCAAACCTTCCAGCTACCTACTCATATCTGTATCAGCATACAAATATGCCAATCACAACAAATTTCCTCAGGAAAGTTGTCTAATACTACTATGTGCTCTACGACATTCTCTCATGAACCCACCCCTGTTGAGTTTTATTCACATTGTTCCTCTAAAAGTGCTCTTGATTAAGGTCACCAGTGACCTCCAAATCCAATAGTCATTTCTCAATAATTAATCTTATTCAAGCCAACAGCAGTTAGCAAAGTTGACTGCTCTCCTTCTGGAATGATTCCTTCCCTTGCTTCTGGCACAGTGCTCGGTTTGTTGGTTTCTTGTACTTCACTAACCACCCCTCTCCATCTCCTTCCCAATCTGTAAGCTTTGGAGATGCCCAGAGCTCCATTCCCAGATCTCTCCTTTCCTCTCTCCACTTACTCTGTGGATGATTCATGCAACCCCATGGCTTTAAAACTATTTATGCTCATTACACTCAGGTTTGTTTTTTCAGCCCCGACCTCACCCTTGAACTCCAGACTATTATGCTTATGATGTATCACCACATGAATGTCTAACAGGCAGCTCAAACTAAACATGCCCCATTCTGAACTCTGATCCTCTCCACCAACCATCAAACCTGCTCCTATCTCAATTCTACCATCGCAGCAAACAGCTGCTCTCAGTGATTTAGGCTAAAACCCCAAAATCATTCTGGACTCTTCTTGTTTTCCTCATATCTCACATCTGATCCATCAGCCACTCCTGTTGACTCTACCTTCAAAATAGTTCCAGAATCCAATCACCACTCAATACTACTTCCATCGATATCACTCTGGTCCAGCGGTCGCCAACTGGTGGTCCGCGGATCACTGGTGGTCTGTGAGGTCCGAAAGGTTGGCAACCGCTGCCTAGTCCAATCCACTGCCTTCCTAGATGAAATATAATAACCTCCTAACGATTGAACTGTTTTCTCCTTTGCCCCCTCATGCTGTTTTTACTAATATCAGTCAAGTTGATTCTTTAAAAACATAAATAAAATTATGTCACTCCTTTATTCAAAACTCACCAATGACTTTTTACGTCATTGAAAAAAATCCAAATTCTTCACTGTAACATAAAAAGTTCTTTGAATACACTGAGGACCCTAGTGTTTACAACTAGCTGCTTTCTTTGCCAATCACTCTTCCTCAATATATCAGCCTCTTTGAATACACTGAGGACCCTAGTGCTTTCTTTGCCAATCACTCTTCCTCAATATATCAGCGTGGCTCACTTGCTCATGTCCTTCACACCTCTGCTCAAATATCATCTTCCCTGAGAGGCCCTATCTGAGCATTCTAGGTGACACAGAACCCCACTCTCCAGCCCTCATTCCCTATCTCCTTATTCTGCTTTATCTTTTTCACAGCATTTACCACCTGCCATTTAGTCCATATTTGTCTATTTGATTCTTTTTTTTTGTTTCTCCACTCAAAGGATAGAAGATCCAGAAGAACAGAGACCTGATCTATTTTGTATCCCCAGTGCTTAGAACAATGCCCAACACATAGCTCTCACTTAATATCAGTGAATTTATTTTATAACAAGTTATCGATAAATTAATTTCTAAGTATATTATAAAATTCAGAATTAATTTTTAATCTAATTTTAATTAGTCTTTTCTGTTAATTAATTTAACCTAACAGAAAAGAGGGAAAAGGACTATAATCTTATTCTGAAAAGTCTTTATAGCTCCTTTTCCTTCTAGTCAGAAGGAGAAGCCTGCATTTCCCCAACTCCTCCAGGAGAGAGGCTTTGACTGACAGTCAGGAAATTATTGCAGCTCCCATCACAGGCGCAAGAATGTAGTATATTCTTGCAGAAGAGGCATGGCCTGAGGCACAGAATGGGGAATAGATGGATTAGAAAGGTTAGGCTTAGCCTTTAAATCCTGTCAGTTGCGCTTATTACACACGACTGGCATTCATGATAACCTCCCAGGCTCGGTAATGCCAAACACAAAGGCAGATATCACAGAGAGACAAGAGGAATATTCTACAGCATGTGCAACGTGTCCAGCGGGCCCCCTTGGAGAAACCCTCCCATGAAAAACCCTGCCAGGATGGTGTTTGTCTATGTTTTACTGTTCTGTAGTTGTTGTTTTTCTCTCTCTCATTATAACGTACGTTTTTCTAAAAGACACTGTATCACAGAAAATCCCTAGGTGCTTTTAAAGGACCCACTTTGAAAAAAACAAAAAACCTACCAGGAAAGCTGGGTCTCACTGATGGAAACAGAACCAGCGTTTCAAGCGCCAGTTGCACTGGAGTCTTTTCAATTCAACTTTGTTGATCTTTGGTGACTGGTTGTTCTGATGTGTTTTCCCAGAGAATCTGTGTTTGGGCAGGAATACAAAGGTTCGATATCCTCACAATTCACAGTATCGTGAATTTGTCTGTCACCTGCCTAGGATAATTGGCTGAGGAAGAGCCTCCTGCAGAAGGAAGGGGTCTCAAACATGCCCATGTATGGAGGACAGCTGAGCCAGTCCTGCAAAGCCTATGTGGGTCACATTGAGGTCTTTCAGAAACAAATGTCCATCAGCATCTAGTCTGGCACTCAATGCAGGACAGATGGGAGGACAGGCCACTTGAGGACCGACCACCTACAGGGAGGGAGGTTGTCCCCAGAGAGTTCAGAGCAGAGTGGAGGAGCGGAAGCTAATGTTTAGTATCTTGACACATCCTGTCACTCATCAAACTGGAGGAGCTTAGCTCAGAGGGAGGCATCAACAACAGACAAAACATGTCTGAATAACAACAGAGATCAAGAAACATAAGATGCTAAAAGCCACGTGGTCCAGGATGCAGTGGGGAAGGTGAAAAACATTACAGACACCTAACTGGGCTGGGCACTGCCTCTGCTCAATGATGCTCACCTGCTCTAGTGGAGACGGGGCTGGGGTTTCTCCAGGTTAAACAAAGAGGTTGTGATGCAATCTCAGGTGGCTCATGAGTACCTCTTGTTCACAGGGCCATCTGCATGGAATATTATCTCCCGGCACCCACTCCTATCTGACCTCCAGCTGGCAGAATGCAGAGGGGCTGAACTTGGAAGAGAGGAACTGGGCAGTGCTAGCTGGGGAGCTGACCATCTCATGGTGGAACCTCCCCTGCAGCTTATGGCAAGCTAGGTCATGTGACCCGAGGAAAGGTCCACAGCTGAGCCCTACCTCAAATGCTGAGACTCCACTCCTTTTGATCAACTTGGGATAAGACCTGGCCGGTGGATGTGGTCAGGGTGACACTGGCTGGTGTGACAAAGCAATAGAGGTAGAAGCGACAATTGCAGTAGAAGGTGGTGGTCTCTAAAGTTACCAGTGAGAATTATTACATCAGAATTCAGTCATGAAGTGGTCCCATTGCCCTGCTGGAAGGAGGCACTCTTGAATACTTAGTCCGAATGTGTCCTTAGTGAGTAGTTGAAACTGTGCAAACTCTAACGAAGACCCTTCAAACTAGAATGAGTCTAGGGCTCCTGGTTTCAGTTCTTCAGGCAGGACATGGGACCCAAAACAATGGAAGAGGAGTGAGGGGTCTCGGGTGACATTCTGCACAAGGCATGATGGGATAGGCCACCTCCACCAATGCCCAGACCTCACCTGGCTGGCTCCGGGAGGGCAGCGCTAGGACTGATGTGGTACACAGACCCCATGGTGTCCCTGCCATTCCTTCTGCAGCTCCTCCTCCCACATCACTAAGCATCCACCCTCTCAAATTGGTCTTGTTATTCTTTTCCTTCTCTTTATTTTCCCTCCCACTTTTATGTTGCTTCTTAAATTAGTTGCTGGTAGGGATTTTCTTGAATCATCATGAGAAGTCGTAGGGTGACCTTTTCCTCCTCCCTTATGAACAGTAAGTCAGCTTCTTCAGAAAATTTTATATCTCATGTCTTCAAAGCTAT